GGGTTTTCTTAAAATAAATAAATAAAAAGGCCCAGTCAGATAATACCACAGAGGATCCCACTGTCAATGACAAATCCCAATGCCCATGGACAAAATGACAGGCCAGCTTTTCCCTGCTTTACATGAGCAAACTTCTAAAGTCCTGCACATCTGAAAAAATTCACAGGATTGAAGAGAAAGTCCCAGACAAACCTAAAAAAATTCCCAGAAACTTGTAGGACTGAGATTGCAAGAAGATGAAAAGATAAAAAAAAAAAAAGAACAATCGTGGGTCTATTCAGAGAGGAAAAGAAATCACATCTGAGAAATAAGAACGGCATTGTAAAAAGAGAACAAGAAGAAAAGAATACATAAAGTAAATATATCAAAAGATACTTTAAATAGAAAGCTTAGTAAAAAAAAAATAAGAAAGAGCAAACAAGATCAAGTAATCAGAGTTTCAGAAAAAGAGTCAAGACGACCAAGGACTTCAAAAATTCAAGAAAATTTCTGTCATGGAAGAAAATAATTTTCATGACTAAAAACCCCACTTGCTGCCCGAAAAATCTATGAAACAGACTCAAACATGGAAAGTCAGAGAGATATCAGAATATTGAGGATAAGAAAATAAGAATGACTAAAGACTCCCTTGCAACAAACTGGATACTCAGAGACTATAGAGGAAAGACACCTTTAAAATACTGAAATGTCCACTCCCATTTGAGAAATCAGCATCCACTTGCACTGCCAAGTGAGAAGGGCAGCTCATGTCAAGGGAGTACTTTGTACAAGCAGGAAGGTCCTGGAGGACATCCTGGAGGAGATGGCCCCAAGGCAATGAAATTGGTAGAATATTTTATGTAGCTTTGGTTTTCTGCCATTTAATTGTCTTGGCAGGAGATTCAAACAACCACAGAACATTTGGGGCTGATGTGGAGATACTACATGTACAAACAGGCAAATAAGGAGGCAAAATAGTCATTGTAACTGAGAAGGGAATACAAAACAGGGAAAATAACATGTACCCTACTGCTCAGCTGTTGATACATCTCTAGATTTAGCTCTTCTGGACATAATGGGAGGATGATGAAAACATGAAAAGGATGAGGGTGGTGGGTAAAGGAGTCAGTGGAAGAGCTGTGTGCTCATCATCTAACAGTGGGAATTTAATCATAGCCTAAAACTTAAGGCATTATATATGCAAATGTAGGTAGATTTTCCATGGCTTGTCATTGGCAAAGCAGAAAATGGGTAAAAGTATTGAACATTTTATGCAATTAGCTTTGCATAATTAAAAAATAGAAACCTTGATGTTTTCAAATTTGTTCACCTCATTGGATTATTTTGAACTGGTTTAGTTCAGGGATTCATGCATGAGCTCATCCTTTACCACCCTGGTTTAGGAATGTGTGCCGGTCTCTGGAATCTGCCCTCATGACCACTAGGTGGCAATAGTGAGTTACATCTGGGCCAGAGGACTTCTGAGCTGTCTATTGGGCATCAAGCATGTTGATGGTATCATAAGGGTTCTGGGTTCAGTTATGACCTAAACAAGTTAGAATTTGTGAAAGGAATTCTTCCAAGGTTTATCTTTGAGTGAAATAGAGTGTAGTAGGTTACACTTTCTGTGGTGGAAGCACTGTGGACTGAAATGCCATTGAATATGAAGTCTCAGATGGAGGTTTAAAAGTCGCATAAAAAAATAAAATAAAAGCTGCATAAGTACAATGTGTTCTAGAAGACCGGACGACGATACCTGGGAATTTACTGATAGGGATTCCAATACAAAGATTGAACTATGGCTCATTCAGGACCCATTTTGCTCTTTTGAAAAATTAGGTCTTTGCATCAGATCATCTCAAAATACCTGTGTGCTCTATTAATCTAAGATTCTTTTACATATTAAAAAAACTGTCCTTCTTACTGGAAAAGAACTATTAAACATCAAGAAGAGAGCAAATGCCCCCCAAACACTCATCCCATTATTAACATTTTGACATTTCAGTCTTATTTCTAGGCATATCTATGTGTGTGGGGGTATATTTTTTTATTTTAAAAATACATTTCTGAAACTTTAACTTAACTGAAAGTCTCCAGTCATGAAATATAAATCAAGCCCTTTCCCATTCACATTATGTCTGTTACTCTCTCCTTTGGGCTCCAGCACAGATTTTCCCTGGCCTCTTCCCTGACTGCCAGCCTCGCCTTCCCAATGCATTGTTCCGCCTCTCTCTTCACTTGGAGTATCTGTTTTCTCTCACAAACTCAGGAGGAAACACCCTGCATACTACAAACACACCAAATCCCCCTTCCTCCTCTTAGGGAGAAACGTAGTGATTGGTGCTTATGGCCACATACTTCCCACTTGGAATGATTCATTCCAGCCCCTCTTGGGCAAGGCTCAAACCCATGGTCTCAGCTGAAACTACACTCTTGAGCAGAGAAGACTCATCTGCTGAGGGCCCCTGCATCTGTCCTTGTAGTTACTGTCCAATAATCAGTTCAAATGCTGGCTAATGTCAGGCATGTCTGCTCGGCACCCTCCACCCCGGCCCTCGGTGCTCAGCCTTTACTCCTGACTTCGTTATCACCTCTTTTCCTAGGTCAGTTCAGCCGTCACAGCCTTGCCCAAAAGTATCAGTAGAGGTGGGGTTCATGTTTACTAACTGAAAACACTCTCGGCACCCCACTCCACCCTCCACACATCCCATATAACCCTTAACATGTATGATAATATATTGGTGCTACTGTTCACCATTTATCTTGAATTTCTTTTTTAAGATTTATTTATTTATTCATACAAAACTGGGATACAGACCAGAGGCTCAGGGGTGGCGAGAGATTTCACCACAGAGTGGGGAGCAAAACAGGCAGATCGATGAAGTACACTGCTGAGGGGAGCAGCGGGCGGGTCAGGAGAGGTCTGCCATGCCATGTGGTCACCTACAGGGCAGGCAGGAATCGAACTCATGCGGAAGTGGCTTTAGCTTCTCAGTGCTGCGCTTTAACCCGCTGCGCCACCGGGGAGGGCCTATCTTGAATTTTAATATGCATTTAAATTGTGGTATTTGCAGAAGCATCAACTTATGTGTAATATGTGCAACTGATGTATTTTAAAGACCCGTAGGGGAAAAGTGTGGAAAAAACCCATAAGGATGATTGCATGGCAAACACATTAATTGGTTCCTAATTTATTTGTATTTTATGTCTACCAATGTATTTTCCATTTAATCATTGTTTTATATATGCATCTATTTTCAGTTAAATTTCCAGATAAAAATTCATTTCTTCTTTGTATTTTTGAAGGTTTTAGTATGGTAGTGAGAAATTATATGTATGGTCCATAATGAAGTTTCTATTCTGATTGTCAATTTAATACCCAAATTATACATCACTTTCTGGTTGGTGTTTTAAGGCTTCTCTACAATAAAATGGCTAATATTTAAGCTTAATGAATAGTTAAAATAAATAAAGTGAGTAGTTAATAAATTTCAGTTATTTGCATCACTCATAAGAATTTTCAAACTCATGCTATTTTTAAAAATAATAGTTTATTTTTACATTATTTTTACTTTTTTTTCATCTCAGTTGTAACCCCATGGGGTTCTCATCACCAAGTCACTCATGTGCCATCACCATAGTCAAACTCATGCTATTTTTTTTGCATGCCATTTAAAAAAAAATCAGCTGAGTCTTCTCTTATATGGAAAAGTACTATTCATTTCTATGTAGAAAATATAAGGCAAAAGGAGACATCTGTAAAATAATTTATCTTGAATGAAATAGAGGTATCCCTGGGGGCTAACCTTTAAGTTAATTAGAAAGTAAAAGGAGAATTACAACCCGTGCACCTGCCCCACCACGCTAAATGCCATTCCCATACCTGTGATGGCTTTTAGTGAACAGCAAATTTTTCCTTATCGAGATCTCCCAAAAAAAGAAATTTCAGTGCTGATATCACAGTCAGTATGTTTATCTGTATGGATCAGGACAAATCCCGTGTTTGTATATTTCTGAAATCTATCTAGGTTTTTTTTTTTTTTTCAGTGCTGCAGTATATAAAATAGCTATTAAAAAGGCTATTACAGTAACCTAAATCAGAGTTAATGCTGACTTATGCCAGGCAGTGCCAGTGAGAAAGATAAAATTGATAGAATTTGGTGGGGTAAGGAAGAGAATATTTTCAAGGAGGAAAGCAGTAGCGTGTACTGACCGAGGGAGTGGGCTCCAGGTCCGACTGCCTAGTTTCACAATCTGTCCTTGCCAGGCCCTGTGCCCTCTGTGCTGATGAACATCTTCATGTGTAAAGTAGGGCAACGATACTAACTTACTCGTGTTGCGAGAAGAGCATGAATTTAACAACGTGTTTGATTTTTAACTTAGAGCAGAGCACATTACCTTTGAAGCAAAATGGAAGCTACAGCTATGGGCGTGGAAAGCTATCAGCTTATACAGTTAGACTTCGCTAAGTATGTTCCAGTCTGTGACAGACTGCGCAGGCGAGGGTAGTCTCAGTAGGCTCTTCCATACATCCGTGCTGTGAGGGAGGGAGGTTGTGTAACCTTCTGAGGTTGGCAGAGTCACCCTCAACGACCCCCAGCCATGAAACCATCCATGACACATTTCTTAGGTCACACCCAGCCATGAAGGAATCATGGCTACGAGGAGAAGATTTGAAGAAGAACATAGTGAGTTTGGTTTTGACTGTTTTGAAATTAAAATTACTCAGATTATGTGAAGAGGTACCTGGATATATAGGTCTAAATGAAAAGTGGGCTGAAGGCAGGAATTTAGGGGTCTGGTATAGCTACAAACCAATGAAAATGCATGAGAGTTTCCTAAGGAGAAATGTTACAGTGAGAAAACACAGGACCCATGACAGTTTCAAGAAATTCCAGTTTTAAAAGCTTCAGCGTGCAAGTTTAGGGAGGGCACAGACATTCCATTTATAACAAATGCTGTTACTGCCAGTTATGGCCACAAGTACAGCTGTTCTCATCCTACGTTTTCTTGCTGAACAGAATTCAGGCACAGGAACCAAATACCGAACAAAGAAGGACCACATGATGTGTAAGCTAATGTGCCTGTGCATTGCTTACTCTTCCACCATCGGGGGGCTGACCACGATCACTGGGACCTCCACCAACCTGATCTTCTCTGAGCATTTCAATATGTAAGTGACGTTACTGGGCCAAGGTCATAATGAATGGGCAGGACACAACGAATGTCAATGATTCTAACCAATTTCAGAAAATATAAAGAGCTCAAAGCTTCATTGAGTTAATTCTCCTTTATGCCCATCAGAACATTTACAGGTCTAGACACTTTCCCTTCCGTGAGAGTTAAATATATCAGACACAGTGATTTAGCTAATGGCTCTGTATGCCCCAGTAAGCTCTTGAGATTCAATTTCTGACAGTCTTCTCTGATCAAACAGGAAAGACATTTTCTTTATAAATATTATTGCCAGTGGTCTCTAGCAAAAGTAAAAAGGCATTATTTGTAAGGGACGATTTATGTAGGGCTTGGAGACTGACATTTGAAATGAGATGACTGAGTGTTAAAAAGGTTCCAAATACAGAAGGCTTGGCTTTGCAATTCAAAAAGATTGACAGATTGGATAATCAAAACAAATGATAGAAACAGTGTTCTAAGTACAAGTGTGTGGTTCTTAATGGTAAGTTTAAATCTTGCTATTAATCCATTGCCAAATATGGGGCTCTGGTTATAGTCAGAGCCCTTGAGCTAAAAGTTCCATAATTTTCAGTGATTTACATTATGAATTTGAACAACAAAGAAGTGTTTTAATTTTCCAAACTTAATTTTTTATAAATTACAATTAAATGAGGTAAATACTTTAAAAGTACTTGGAACGATAAAAGAAGTACTGAAACAGTAACATGGAAGTTCATGCATTTATGTGAGAGCTGATATTGATTCTACCATCAAGCTACATCTTCAGGTTTTAATAGGATCTGAAGATAATTTGCAGAGTTCCAGGAATATGAGCAGCATTGAAAATTCCCTAGAAAGAATTTAAATTTTTTTCATAGGAAAATTAGGGTTCACAAGCAAGAAAATTATATTCTAGAAAGAAAATTCACAAACTCTACACACTTTCTGAAATTATTTGTGAAATGTTGTACATGCATAGTTTTACCAAGAAATCTAAGATTCAAAAAGGCTTACTCTCCATCCTAGAAAGAATGAGAACTTAGGCAGAGATATAACAGCTCTGAGACCATGTAGCTCAGACCTCCATGTGTAATTATTGTATCACGAGTACACATTCATCAACAAACAACTTCAATAACCAACTTAGAATGGAATGTTTAAAGGATATTTGGCTTATAAATGGAGCACTTCTGAAATTCACCGTGCTAGGAAGATTTGTGAGATGTCTCCCCTAACTGCAGGAAATGTATTTCATCTCTTTCTAGAAACTGGAGTTCTATCCTTTCTCATGCAATCTCCAAGTAAATGATTCCACATCTTAGATCTTTCTTGAGTTGCTTTCTTAGATCTCTTTTTCAGAAATTTAGAGCATTTTTTTATTGTTTTATCCTTGTTGGTGTGAGAGAACTGCTGATTTCTACCATTCCCATGAAATTACTTGATATGGCAAAGGAATCCATTTTGGGTTTGCCTTTGTTCTTTGTGTTTTTGCACGATGTATTAACCAAATGTTCATCTTTTTATTTAACTGTTCACTTGACTTACTGAATGCATTAATCCATTTGCAATGGCAGGTTGAGAGCACTGTGGTACTTTGAGCAAATGTTTCTAATCTAATTCTCCTAATCACAGAAATGTGACCAAAGTAATCTTTAAATTAGAAAATGTTTAAAGTGTGCTTTAAATGTGTTCATTTGTTTTCTTCAAAAATGTTGTTTTAATATTAGCAATTATATACAAGCTAGGGGAAAATGTCAAGTATCCCCTTATGACAGAAAATGCTGAACTAGAAGTAGGGGAGAAAACATCCCTTTATGGAAAATATAATTAATTTTATTAAACAAGCCAGGTATTTAATAAAATCTTAAATCTTCACATTAAAATTACAAAAGCATCCCAAAGCAACAACAGAAAGAAATACATTTAACTTTATTGGTAAAAATTCCAGAAACTGAAAACAACAAGGAGAAAAAAGATTATATACTTTGTTCAGGTGTGTGGAACTGGAGAGAAATTGCCCTATATTTCCAAATTCACTGTAAAAATGCCACCATTCCCTTTCATAACTGCCTGCCATCATCTGGAGCCATACCAATGATCATTTTGAATCCCACCCAGCCCCAGAGAATGAGTGAAGCCTCAGAGTCAGTGATTTCCTACTATTCACATTTAGCAAACTTCTTCCCAGTAAATATGAGGAAAATTTGGTTAACACATTTCAAAGTCTTTTTCCATCCATCTATACAGATATATGTGATATGGACATATATTTATATGTATAGATATATACATAAATATATTTGATCCCTTTTTTTGCACACAAAAAAATAGCAGCGAATTCTGAGAAAGCTTAAATTTTGTTTCATGCCAATAACAAATCTTCATTCATTCACTCATGAACCAACAAACCTTTGTTATGACTGACAATGTACTGGGCACTGTTTTGAAGCATTTTAGAGAATGCAAGCAATAAACCTGCTAGGAAGATTCCATCTGGCTGTCTAGACAAAACATACATATGTAAAAGCCATTAAATACGTGAACATGATAACATTTGTATTCCAAAACTATGTAAACTAACGGATAGTGAGCGCCTGTCATATAATCCAGATATACTACCATGAACACATCTCCCAAATGTCCTTATCATGGAGGTGCTACAATGATGATGAAAAGCATATATTCTTGTGTCAAAATGACCATGTTCAAATCTCAGCACCCTCCACTTATAAACTAGTTGACTTGAGGCAAATTATTTAATATATTTAAGTTTGTTGCCTTGCCAGAAAAATATGATCTTGCTCTTAGAAAGTTGTTAAATGTCATTTCCATCACTGAGTAGCACACAGCAGGTGTTCAAAAATGTTGATAATTATTATTAGAGCTGAGAAAATGGGCTTCAGCTTAGCCGGTAAGTACAAAACCAGGATCAATCAGACCCCCCAAGAGCTGTCTCCTGCTAAAATTACCTCCCTGAAAAACTAGTTGAACAGGCACGCTAAAAGAGGACTGAAGGCGGGAGGGGGGGGAGGGAGGGGCTGGGGGTACACTCTCTGGTGGTGCAACAGGTTAAGTGCAACACTATGAAGCTATCTGCAACCACTGCAGCATGAGTTCAATTCCCCGCCAAGGAGCTGACCCACATGGCCACAGACCTCTCCTGTCTCGCCCACTGCTCCCCTCAGCAGTGCATTTCAGTAGATCCATCTGTTCTGCTCTCCACTCGGTCTGTGGTGAATCCTCTCACCCCCATACCTCTCACCTGCACCCCAGCTCTTGTATGCATAAATAAATCTTTAAAAAGAAGAGGATTGTGGGTATATGAAACACACGTAGTCACTAGAGAACATTTGTTTATACAACCTTGTCCTAGTTTAAAGGAGATAAACACCACATTTCTGGAGAAAATGAATGTAAATAAGTCATACTCCCAAAGCACCAGAAGCCTATAGCAGGTTCTGGAGGGAGGGACGGCATGGGTGGTAGAGTTTAGAAGAGCAGAGAGTGGAGTAACTGGTATTCTGGGAATCTGGGAGCAGCAGACGAGTTCAGGTCTGTTAGTAGTGTGCCAACAAAAAGGGGCAGAATTAGACTAGTGATAAAGTGATAGGAGGGTTGTTGTTTTTTAAGATTTATGTATTTATGCATACAAAATTGGAGTACATGCCACAGGTGCAGGGGCAGTGAGAGGATTCACCAGAGACAGAGTGGGGAGCAGAACAGGCAGATTGATGAAGTAACTGCTGAGAGGAGCAGAGGGCAGGTCAGGAGGGGTCTGCCACCCCATGTGGGCCACCTCCAGGGCCGGGGATCAAACTTGGTCGCACTGAAGTGGCTGCAGTGCCTTGTAGTTCTTTGCAGTTTAACCCGCTGCACCACCAGGGAGCGCCCGATAGGAGGCTTTAGATGTAAGATGTCACAGTGAGAAATTGGCCAGTAACAAGGTGTGAGGAGCCAAGGGTTAAAAGGGGTTGAGGCAATTCTGGAAACTTCAACAGAAAATATGGCATGTTTCCTGGAGAAATTAATAAATTTGATTTTAGAGATACAGAAATGGACTGCTCAAGCTTATCCATGGGGGAGATCTTTAGCAGGCATCTGAAAAATAAAAATGCATTGTTGCAATACATTTGGAGGCTATAAATAAGTATGAACATTTAAATCCTGAGTTTAGAAGGGGTCCTCAAAGGAGCAAAGGGATAAAAGAATTAAAACCTGATAGACACTTGGGAAATACTGACTAGAAAAAGTTGAGAACAAGGGCCCTCCCTGGTGGCGCAGCGGGTTAAAGCACTGCACTGAGAAGCTTAAGCCACTTCCGCATGAGTTCGATCCCTGCCTGCCCCGGAGGTGATCCACATGGCGCGGCAGACCTCTCCTGACCCGCCCGCTGCTCCCCTCAGCAGTGTACTTCGTCGATCTACCTGTTCTGTACCCCACTGTCTCTGGTGAATCCTCTCACCCTCTGCATCTCTGGCCCGTACCCCAGTTCTGTATGAATAAATAAATAAATCTTTAAAAAAAAAAAAAGTTGAGAACAAGCAGGAGCTGTGGTATCTTGAAAGCCACAGGAGAAAACCATTTGCAATGTGGAGGATGAGAAGCAGGAACATATAGAAGGGCCAAGTAGGAGGCTGCCGAGGGCTTCTTTGAGTTCTCAGTGGAGAGCAGACTGCGCAGGGAACTAGGGCACTGTGGGGCGCAAAGAGTTTTGCTAAAGAGTTAAGGAGCAGAGGAGTGTAGCGAGTGGGGAGAGGAAGGCAGCTAGTTAAATGCTACTTTAAATTTACCTGGGAAAAAAGAAAGGAAGGGGTGGTGAGGCTTCTTTTATAAGGGAGATGTAGGTTTGGTTCTTTGTCTCAGAGAATTGGGACATTTGTATTGTTAAAACACACACACACACACACACACACACACACACACACACACAAGCAAGGTGTTTCTTAACCCTGGACTGGTTAAAGCAGATGTGGGTGAGAGACCTGTAGGGAGGTGACC